GAGGTCCTCTACTGACTTCTATCATCCTCATACAGCCATTTATCCCAAAGCACTCCATTAGTGCTAGTATGAGTAAGCCAAAGGGGATGATTCCTGTCTTTAACCCAGGCTTCTTTCAGAATGAGAAAGACCCATAACCCCCTGCCTCTGTAGCTACTGATGCCAAACCTAGGTCACTGGTCCATTCTCCTGTAGACTGCATGATGAGTTCTAGACAACCTCCCATACCCCACTGTGTCTGTGCCCCAACCCCTGGCGGGGGGGAGAGAAAGGCTTCAGTGTTCCTTCTTGCCAATAAACGTAATCAGGGACCATCTGAAGGGGTTCAAACAATGTAGCAATTCAATAAGAAGAATTCTTTTCTCCCAGGAAACCTCCTTAGTCCTTATATGCATTTGTCCACCCTACTCCTGAGCCAAGTGCTACCCTTCCCTCCAAAAGCAATGGGTGCCCACTTGCCTTTTAACCAAGTTGAGAAAAGACATCACAACAAAAAGGTAGTTTGGCAGTCTCTACCAGTAAACCTGAAGGCAGCTGGCAAAGAAAAGGCTCCACCTCACCAGGCAAGTTCAGAAATTTGGCATTCTCTTTGACATTGATAGACTAAATCTTTTCACATAAGGAGTACACTATACAGTCAGGCCCATCTTATCATAGCTGGGAGGGTGGTGACAAGTCAGTTATGAGGCAAATCAGTTGCTGATCTAGAAATGAATCTCCATGTCTTTAATTCTCCATGATTATTGCTTTTCTGCTTGACATTTCTGAATTGCATAAATGGCCTCTATTCAAATTAAAATTTACCTGGGGCGCCTGGGTGGCGCAGTCGGGTGAGCGTCCGACTTCAGCCAGGTCACGATCTCGCCGTCCGTGGGTTCGAGCCCCGCGTCGGGCTCTGGGCTGATGGCTCAGAGCCTGGAGCCTGTTTCCGATTCTGTGTCTCCCTCTCTCTCTCTGCCCCTCCCCCGTTCATGCTCTGTCTCTCTCTGTCCCAAAAATAAATAAACGTTGAAAAAAAAAAAAAATTCAAATTAAAATTTACCCATCACTCGACAGTGGGGGGAGGCAGCGCCAATGCCAAGGGGATGTGTATCTCCATAGTCTGTATTAGCTGCCCCAGATAAAAGTAGTAGGTATTCTCCCATATGGAAAAGGATGTTTTCTCAATCGTAGGCCGAGAGCGAATGAGGGCACTTACAGACCACATTCGTGTTTGTAATCATCCCGTCACTCCCTCCTACCACCCTTCCTCCCCCTACAATGGCTTTCCATTACGAACAAATGCCTTTGCCAGATGTCAAAAGTTCCATGTGATCCGGACCCACCGATGTGGCTGTGACCCGATCTTACACTATTTTTACCCTGACACATACCAGTCTTTTTGAAATCCTAATGAATTCACAAACATTTCTGCAGATGGGGACTTCGTAGTCCCCCTAAGAAGGCTGCTCAGGGATCCCTGCCATGGCTGGCTCCTTCGTGGCACTCAGGTTTCCGCTTAACTGTCTCCTCTGGGGAGCATCCTGCCATCCCAGCTGGTTCCACTACTGCAGTCACCCCTCTCTGCCCACCTTGCTTTATTTCTCTTCATAGCACACACTGGGGCTTTCGTAGCATGCTGCTACTGTTTCAACTGTTTGCCTCTCTCAATCAGAATGGAAGTCCCCGAAGGGGAGAGACTCTGCATATGTTGTTTACTGCATCAGCCTGAGTCCAATTACACAGTAATTTGAACAAGAGAAGTTCAATATAAAGACTTACTAATTATGACAGGGCATGGGAGTAAGGAGGGTGTGGTAAGAGGTAAAGAGAACCCTCAAGAACATACAAATAGCAGATATAAGGAACAGCCAGTACCTCTAGGGCTGAGACAGAGGACTCAAGCAGGAGCCTCCCCAGGACCCACACACACCCTATGGCTGAAATCCAGACCTTGACCAAAATGGCACAGCTGGAGCGGGTGGACCCTGATAGAAGTCTGCTTTCTGGAACTTGCCAGAAATCCACACTCCAGAACTTACTAGAAATCCATCCTCTGGGGTGCCAAAGAAAGCTGTTTCAGGGAATGTCTCCCCAGAGGCACTCTGGTCCGAAACTACATGAGGAGAGTCCTGGAAGAAGCTCCTGGCTGCTGGGTGCAATGGATTGGCACCTGTGCTGTGGCAATCTGCCTGGCCTGCACACCAGAACCAGGAAGCAAAACCCTTTCCCCTTGTAATGTCTCCTCAGCACCCTCTATTGACAAAGTTTTGGTACCAGCTGGCAAAGAAAAGTGTTGAAAGGGCCCAGATCTATTTTCACACAGCAGGCAACGAGGATGAATTTGAAGCTGTGAGGCAATAAATTAAAAAAAATACCCACATTTATTGCTCAGTTCCCTTATCCTGGCACATAATAGGTAAAAACAAAAAAAATATTTCAATAAATGCTTGAAGGAGGAATACATAATTTATAACATATAACATAAGAGAAAACAATGTGCTTGCTTTGCATGTATCACTTTAAGATTGGAACCTCCAGGCCTAGCTTCCAACAGGCATGCTGTTGCTGAGCCCTGCCCACAGAGACATTCCGGAGCTCAGCACTGTGTGTAAGGCGAGCCCCACCCCCCTGCACCCCCACCCCTGCCAGGCCACTTCACAGCTTGCTTAACAGTTTGTGAAAAAAGTGCAATCAAGGGAAGCACAGGGGTGCCTGGTTGCCTAAGTTGGAGGAGCATGTGACTCTTGATCTCAGGGTCGTGAGTTTGAGCCCCACACTGGGTGTACAGATTCCAATAAATAATAAATAATAACTAACTAAATACACTTTAAAAGAGAGAGACAGAGAGAGAGAGAGAGAGAGAGAGAAGCACAAGCAGAGAGCAGAAGAGACAAAAGCAGCTGTTTTTGTGTCCTGCTTTCTGTGTTCTGCCGGGTCACCAGTTGTTTCATTTGGCATCTTTCTGAGACATCGCTGTCATGTAGATCTGCCAAATGAGCAAAATGTGAAACATATCCAAGGGCAGTATTCTAAAACTGCACTTAATAAAAAGTAAAGAAACATCCTGATGTCTTATCACCTTTCTGTTGACACGAACTATTGAGAGAGTTTGGGAGAGAGGTCCCTGCCATAAGCTATTTGAGATTTCCTAACAGAGCAGTTTCCCTTTGTCCGAGCTCTTCAGTTTCCGTTATTAGGATTCACATTCCCCGTACTAGGAATAAACTGCACAGAATCTCAATAAATATGGCCCAAAAGATACAGAAGCTTTCCATGCTGATACAACTTGGGGTTTGCTCATTAATGCCATTAGCAAATATTTACTGAGCACCAACTATGTGCCGGACAGCATCTGGAGTGTGGCTGTGAGCATAACCAAATTCTTGTTCTTATGGAACTCGCTAACATTCTGGCAAGAACAGATAGCACGGAACTTCCTACAGAGGCGCTGTGGGTCATTTAACCAACTATTGAAAAGCTCCACTGGGAGAAAATAACCAACCGTAGAATAAAACGTGATTGTTGCTGGTGTTCTTAGAAAATTCACTGTCCTAGTGTAGAAACTGTATCACTTAATTCTTCTAACTATGGGTTCTTAGGAATGTTTCAAAAACAGTGCTGTCCAGTGAAAATATGTGTGCTCCATCAAGTAATTGAAACTCTCCTAGTATCTGGGTTAAAAAAGTAAAAAAGAAACAGACAAAAATTAACTATAGCAACATGTTTTGTTTAAGCAATCATATTAAAATATTAGAATTTCAACATGAAATTATAAATTTCATAAATTATTAAGCTATTTCACTTTACTTTTTTTTTTAATTAACTCTTCAGAATTCGTGTGTGTTCTTACAGCACATCTCATTTTGAACTGGACACATCGTACAGAGGAGGTTCAGAAAACTGCCCATCCTCTTATTTTGGGGGATGGAGAAAGTATTCGCTGAATTGAATTGCTGAAAGTGTTTGGGGATGGACTTTACATTGTGAAGACGTTCAAAGCCTTCCTTTGCACCAGCCTTCCACACTGCCCGCACAGGAAGAAGCCCATAGAATGTGCTAACTTGGACAGTAAGTCATTGATTGTCCACTGAGGCGTGGAATATCATTAAGAAGACTGGTTTTCCACTAATGCTGAACCATCTCTGCCAACGTCTCAAGATAGAGTAGGCAAAAGACACTCAGAAATGAACGTCCAAAACAGACCCTTAAATTAGTCAACCCTCAATCTGACTTTTTTCTGAATTCCTGCACACCCCCAAAAGGCTAGAGGGTTACTAGGAAAGGCTACCAGCTTCACCGACAACCCTTAAACCAGGGAGCAACCCCAGCTGGACGAGGACTAAGAAGGCGCTGTCTGCCTCGGGCCCCTCCTTCTTGTCACAGAGTCGGTCCCCTCCTCATTAGCTCCTTCCCTAAAAATGCCCCTTCCCTGGCCTCTGCCCCTGCACCACCCCCACTTTCCCGGACCGTGTTCCGGGGGTGGCCGACCCACCCTCTCTCGTGGTCCGCTTGGCCTCCTAGCGGGTTTCAACCGCGTCAAGCTTGACTTGCTCCTCCCAAGAGCAAGAAAAAGAGGGGCAATCTCCTTCCTACTGATCCGGGGGGGGAAGGAGCATCTCAGGGGCGCAGGGGCGTTTTCTGCCCAGTACCTGCGTCTGGTACCCCCTTGACACTGCCATAGTGCTGACCGACTGCAGTCTGCGGAGTGAGAGTGGCCCTCTCGACAAAGTTCTTTTGGGAATCTGGCGACCCTTGCCCCCGGGCCTCCAGCCCCACCCCGAGGCTCCACGGTTGCGCCCCCGCGGCTCTCGAGGAGAGCGACTTGGGGCGCTTCCTCGCATAGTTGCTTGAGAAAATCGGCCCCACTTCGGGGTTAAACGACAATCACAGCCCCTCGGGCCTCGGAGGGGCGCCCTCCCCACCCGTACCCCGGCCCCCTGCCCCAGTAAGCGTCTCGCAGCTCCGTCTCCTGCTCTAAACAAGAACAGGGGCCCGAGACCGCGTTCACACGGAAAATTATGCCGGCTCCAGCGGCGCGTAAAATTGATGTGAACCGAACGAAGTGGGATCGGTGTGATCCTCCCTCTCTTGTCTCAACAGGGGTTTCGGCGCGTTACACAAGGCCGAGCTTGTCTCTTTAAGGAGACATTGGACCCTAATTAGTCCGCATTCCTGGCGAGGCCGAGGAGCAAGGGGCCGAGGGTTGTTTGGGTTGGAGGGGGGCGGAAGGGAGGACTAGACTCGGAAAGAGATCTTCTGACCAGCCTCTAGCCTTACCGCCCCCTCCACCCTCTTTATTTTGCCGCCACCACCGCCACCAACACCCAGTTCTGAAGATGCAGCCAGGGCAGCAGCAACAGCAGCAGCCGCCGCCGCCGCCGCCGCCGCCGCCGCTACTCCCAGGCCCACGTTACTTTGATTGACAGCTGAACAAATGTTTCCCCGGTTCGAACGCTCGCGCTAAGGAACGTCAGCCAAGGCGAAGCTCCGCCTTGGGCGGGCCGTCTCCGCTCCGCCTCCGCTAACCCCATCCCGTTCCGTTCATTGGCCCAAACTGCAGACGACGCCCGGCCCCCACGTGGGCTCCAGCCCGGCCTGCTCCTCCCCTCTGGCTCGCCATTTGTCAGCAGTGAAATGATGGGCAGTAACATAGAACGGCGATTAATGTTCAGCCACCTCTGATTGGTTGCTGGAGACGCCTACCGCGCCGAGGGTGGGCGGGGCGCTTGAAGAGCGCCCCAGAGCAGTCGCGTGGCGGGCCGGTGATTGTAGTCAATCTGGCCGAATCCTCAACCGAGGTCGCTGGGGGTGGACTACATCTCCCGGGATGCTCTGCGGTCCCTCCACGGACGGTTGTGAATATGTATCAGAATGTTAATGATTAGCTGCTGCTAAATTTGGTCAAAGAAGTCACCTACACAGAGCGTGTTGTTAGAGCTGTTCTGAGCGGGTGTTTGGGCTGTTGGCTGCTTTCTTCCCCCTCTCTCACACACTTGTATATTATTTTGAGGTGGTGTTCGCAGAGTTTGAAAGGAGAGAGAATTAAAAAAAAAAAAAAA